GCCACCACCCACCCCGTGTACAGCCGACCACACATCTGTCTTGCTGAAGGCTCGTGTGGTTTTCAACTTTTCATTGTGACTGGTGACGTTTACAGGGCAAACCAGTCTTCCGTCCAGCACTTCACACCATTTGGTTTCCCGCCATTGCAATCCCCTCATGTCACGCCACGCATCCCACTTCCTCCCTGTGTTAACAGTTTCCATTCCTCGTCCTTCCCTAACCTTCCTGCCTCTGAGCTTTGTACTTGGCCAGGCTTCCCTTTGATCCCTGGTGGGTGGTAGTCCAAGGAGTCCGTTCCTCCTGGTGTCACTGTTCACCTCGTGGACCTGACTGTGGTCTGGCTGAAACTTGGGCCACGGGCGTGAGTTGAGGTCAGCACAGTTTTAATGGTGGAAAGGGAGGGCTCGTACCACCACGGCACCAGCTGTCTCGGCCGGTGCCCCTCTGCCTTCTCCCATCATCTCTCGGGGAGACACTGGGCTCCTCCAGCACCAGGGATACTGAGGCAGTAAGACACAGCCACCTTTGCAGAGTTCGTGTCGGTGCCGAAGGCTGGGGAGGCTGAGGAGCCTTCGGCTGAGGCAGCAGGAGTGGCATGGTGTCCGGGGGTCTGGAACCCAGCGCTCACCCCTACAACATGCTGCTGGTCAGCCCCCTCCACGACCTGCTAAGGCGGAGAGGGCCCAGCTGTGTCAGGGCAGAGGCCTCAGCGGGCAGGTGCCCCCGGACAGTGTCGTTCCGGGGCCTCGCCTGGCTGGCGTCCATCCCCGCGACCCAGGCACTTGCTCGCCCCTCTTCAGCTCCGACCGTCAACACTCTGTGGCCTCTGGGTCTGTGATTATGGCTGTGAGGTCACCGGGTCAGGTGCGACCCCAGTACAAACCCGGCTTTTCAGAATGACCTTCCAGTGGGGCCACCATAGACGGGTTCACAAACCCACTTTGGCACATAAACTCTCACGACATAAATTCCATCTAGCAGGCCTCTTCTTTCCTGCTGGATTTGCTCCAGAGAGGGTCCCAGAGTTAACCCACTGGATGGGGTCCCCATGGCCCGAGATCAGCTGAGTCACGGAGCCTGGAAACTCTGGCACCATCTCTCCTTTCTAAAGGGGTGTGTCTCCTATCTGAAAAGACAGGCTGACAGAGGCCCTAAATGGCCCATCCTTCCTGTCTGTCCCTGAAGGCTGTCCCCGCCTGTATGTCTCATTTCTCATCGCTGTCTGTCGAGGGAGCAGCTGCAGGGACTGAGAGACCACAGCCAGGGAGTGCATCCGACCCAAACATTCCTTTTGGAAAACAAATGATCCTGAGACCAGATTGGATCTCGTGTGCCCCCCACACACCGGCCGCGCCTCTTCCCCGAAGTCGGCTCTGCCTCCGCATGAGGCCCGAGCCTGGACGACGCGTCCGCCCGCCTTGTGTCTTGCAG